ATTATTTATTATTTTTGAAGAGTTAATTCAAATACTTTAAAAATCCCATTTTTAGTTTTACAAAAAAACAGAAGACAAGATTAATTTTCTGCCCAAATTTTTACTTTTTCTTTTTCTTCTAGGAGCAATTTGATTAAAAAGTGTTTCAAAGTGTTTCAAAGTGTTTCAAAGTGTTTCAAAGTGTTTCTACCACTAAATTACAGTGTAAAATTAGTGTGTAAATAGTAACTACTCATACTAAATAGATACACCCTTTTAATTTAAAACCGAGAAGAAATTCAGAAGTTTATATTTTTATATTACTAAACAAGTAATCTCTACCAAAAAAAAAAAAACATTAAACTCTTCAAAATAATTATAAAATGTAACATCTATATATAAAAAGAGTGTCTGCAAGAAACTGCAAAACACAACCCTCTTGTTTTTACACTATGATCCATTCAATTCAATAAATATTAATTTCAATAAGAGACTCTAATACTAAAAAAGAACTCCGTTGTTATTCAATAATTCAATGGGATTTTTCCCCTTCCGAGAAAGGACAAACTACAAATGAAGCAAGAAAGAGAATAAGTTCAACCCTTTTCTTCTGCAAAAATAAATTCAAAAACTTTTCCATGGAAAAACAGATTCTGTAACATTCATATCCATGGGAAAAAAAAAATACAAATAAAAATAAAAAACCATAAACCAAACCAAGCTGTTGGCAATCCCATGCCAAAACTACAGCCTATCTACAATTACCCAATTTTGCTACACACTATTTTCCCTTCCCCAATACTACTTACATACCGTTTATTAACACTTAGCGGATAAGAGTGTTTTCGAATCAATTTTCACGAAAATTCCTATTCCATAATGTATACCATCTATCTGTCTGTCTATCCATCCTACCTCCGTTGTAAAGGGACTAACTTTGTAAAAAAAAAAATCCAAAATGCGAATTGACTGTTTTAGCCGGACCCTTTGGCGGGTCGGGCAATCGGACCAGCTGCTGACCTGAACCCGGTTACCACGGCGTCGAGGACGCACTGGTGGAACCCGGCGACTCTTCCCGTCTCCTTACTTCTCTCACACTCGTCGCAGATTAGGCTCTTCGCCTCCCTCTCCAATCTTAGATTCGCCATCCCCATATTCATCAGGTACCTCTGCTTCTCCACCTCCAAATTCCTCAGCCTCTGCTCAAATCCGTCGTACCCGGTGAAGTTGTAACCATCGGCGTCGACTCTCCTCAGCAGCATAGCGTTCGCCGGCGGTTCCTTCTTCGGTGGGAACATGATTACCGACTCGTCAGCATCGTTGTACCCCTGACTCTGAGACCGCCCCTTTGCCCTCCTCCCGCGTCGCGTTCGCTTCAACGACACGATGAAGAACCCATCCTCGTCACTAGAAAGCTCCCACAAATTAGTCTTGTTGGTGACAGGGATTCTCCGGTACGGATATTTAGCGCCGGCGTACTGGATGGAGAACTGGTGCGGCGATATACCGATCTTGCGGCTCAGAATCGATTGAAACGCCTTGAAATCCACCGACGCATGAAGCACCACGTTTCCGATGCTAGTCTCCCTCTCCCCGTCATAGAAAACAACGGGGACAGACGTCCTGAAATTGTCCTCCAACATTTCCCAAAAACGTCACTTGCCGGCGAGATCACGACGACGAACTTGATTGTTGTTCTGGAAAAAAAAAGCAAAAAAAAAAAAAAAAAAAAAAGAGGATCAGTTTCTATTTTCTAAAGCTAGAAAAGTCAATTTGCATTTGTCCCCACAATGTGTACCATCAGCCAAAGGAAA